CAGAAGCAGGTCAGGTTCCTGAAGCTGAGGTTTGAATTTGGCCAAAATCCCCCTCAGTTGCCACCATCAGCTTTCTGCTTGCCAAGCTCAGGCACCAGGTCCTGTTCATCCAGGGCTCTGATCTGGGGTTATCAAATCCCAGATTAAAGATTGGGCATTCCCTGTGGAAAAAAGGGGGTTAAATTGAGCCTTGCCCAGAAATCATGGATAAACAGGGAATTTCCTGGACTAAGTATGGTTTGATGCCTTGGACATAGTAAAGGGTGGGAAGGCACATGATCCAGGCTGTCCTTGCCCTAATATTTTTCCCAAAGTATCTCCTACTGTTGGAAAAGGAATTATGAGTTGAACAGATTTTTATTTCAAAAGGAAGAACGTGGCAAAGGGCTGCAAGATCACAACTGGGCTGGAGAAGGAGAACAGGGGTGATCACTCATTCTCCTTCCTGAGGCAGGGATCAGCCAGAGCCTAAAGAGCTCAGCAGGTGGCTTAAAAAAGGGAAGGGAGACACTTCTTCACCTGAAAAGTGATTAAATTGTGGAACTTGTTACCTCAGGATGACAGAGTGGGAAAAAAATTAAATAGAGGGGAAGGAGAGCAGGTTAATAAACATTGGAGGTTAATAAACATTCCAAGAGTGCTCCTGTCTCAGAAAGCTGCTGAACCTTTAATTGGTGGGACAGGGAAGGATTCCACAATTGGTTTTGTTGGTCTGGCTCTGTCAGAATCCTGCACTGGTCTGGGCTCCAGGTTGGATCATCTTCCAGTCTGAGATTGTGGCTGAGATTCCTTGGTCCCCAGGAGATGGAGGAGGTGCAGGAATCCCGTGGAGATCAGGAACAGGGTGGGTTTGCTGAGCTGCTCCTGCAAATCCCTGCTGGAGCCCAGAAATCTGGGATTTTTTGGAGTTTTCTGTGCTTTCTGGCACTGACCCTCTGGAGAATTCTGCTTTTGATTTGAGGCCTTGGAGAAACTTCCAAATTTGAGTGATGGAGTTAAAATCATGGCTGTGGAGTTAAATAGAAGTGTGTGATTTCACATGGTGAAGGGTTTGGAATTTGAGGTTTTATAATATAGAACCAGGTATGGGACAAGATGGAGGATTTTGGGTGGTGTCTCTTTTCCTTATCTTTTTTTTTTTTCTTCTTCATGGTTTCAGGTTGTAGTTTCTGGTTGGACACTCAGTGCTGCACTGGGGGCCACAGGAATTTGATTCCTGGGTCAAAAGTATAAATAATACAGGTATTAATTCTCTATTGAACTGTTTAGCTTTAAGAGACCTTGTAGCTATCTGGATTAATCCCCATTTTGCTCACTTCTAGTATTACTGAACTTTCTATACTTTAAATAAGATTTCATAAACAACCAAGCCCGAACACGAGAAAATTCGTTTCCTCCGTGTGTTTTTTAATCCTAGCTCTAAATAAAGACAAAAAAACCCTCCAAACAAACCACTAATTAAATGGTACAAAACATCACCCCATTACAATCTCCAGCTCTGCCTGTCATTCCATGAGGTGCTGAGCTCAGAGTGGGGAAGTTCAGGATTTTTGGGGAGAAACGCAGGATTTTACTGCTTGGGCTTTATCAAAACCCCACAAACCCCCGTGGAGGCTTTCTCAAAAATGCCTTTTCTCCCCTGATCTCCCCTGGTTGCATTCCTGTGTTTCCCCTGCACAGGGAATGGAATAAAAAGCTGACTGGAGACCTACTCATTTAATGCCTGAATTAGTTCAATTTTCTCTGCCCGAGGCTCCTCATTCTTTTCCACTGTCTTGCTGTTGGCCTGCTGGGAATCTCTCATTGTCCACAGAAGTTTTTCTCGTCCTCCTAAATTGGTGATTTTCTCCCCGAGCTCAGTTTTTTCCCCTAAATCTTTCAGAGCTAATTTCTTTTCATAGTTTGCTTAGGCACACGTGTATTTGAGCTAAAATCAGTTTCAAAATGGCTCAGATTTATTTTTAAGCCAGGGTTCGTTGTTTTTTTTTTTTTTTTTTTTTTTTGCAGATGCCAAAAACATTGATTCCTGTCTGATTAAAAAAAAAAACAACAAAACCCACGGAGTATTTTCAGCATGATTTAATGGCTCATCTACAAGGATCTTGACTGGCTTCACTAAATGCTTGGTGCTCACTCGTGTGTGGAAAAGGCCCTGGTGGCTTTGGATGCACATGATTTTATTTAACCAAACACAATTTAATCTTGGGGAGTTACAAAGCCAGAGTTTAGGCTGATGTCTCAAAGCTTGAGTCAATCACTACTGGGAAAAGCAACCTATCTCATTATTTATTGGAGCAAAATGCTTTGTTTTCGTGGAGCTGTCGCCGTTAAATATTTTTGGATGCAAACTTCTGGAATTGTTTCTGGGAAGAAAGCTTTCATTTTAAATTTTTTCCTTCATATTTTCATTTTAAGCTGTAGAAGCATTTATCAGGTATTGCAACAAAACATTCAATTCCAAGTCAAGGCGAACACTGATTTTTTTAAAAAAATATTTTTTGGAGACAAAGGAACCATTTTGCTTGATCCCTTGCTTAGAAGCAGTTTGGGGTTTGGATCATCTAGAATCCTATTCTTTCCCTTACTCTTTTAATTCTGGAGGAACCCTCAAACCAGAAAAAACAGTTATTTGTATGATTTCATTTAAACAGTGACACACTGCTTCATAGCTTTGTTGCAGAATATTTTCAGGGAGTGACAGAAACGCCATCGGAATAAGGATGCTAAGAGGAATTAAACAAAACCATGATTTATAAAAGCAGTTTAAAAACCCCTAACTGAGAAAATAAGTAACATGTTGACCTTAGGCACAGCAATAAATACACTGCAGCTGCACAAGCAGATTCTCTTACTGCTGGATGTGAAATGAGCTGTCTTGGGGCTCTCCACCCTGCCAAGCCAGCCTGAATTAGCAGCTGGTCAGTTTTTTGTTTTTTTTTGCAGACAGCTCTGTCAGAAGGAGCTGCAGGAGCCCAGGGAGGAAATCAGAGCCTGCAGGAGCTTCGTGTCCCCATGGCAGGACAGAAGCAGTGACAGCTGCTGCTGAGATGTTGTGGCAGAGGAGATGCTGGCCTGGAGTGTTTTCTGGGAGAAAAAGGGGTTGGTTTTGTGAAGCAGGTCCTGAGCAGGGCAGGCAGAGCGTGCCCTACAGACATGGTGTGTGGGACTCCAGTTAAATCCTTTAGGATCATTCCAGGTTCTCCTTCAAATCTCTGCTCTGCCTTAACACATCTCCCTCTGGAGACAGCAGCTACAACCTCCCCTGCTCCTCTGTGCAGTTCTGACTCCATCTGTGAGGAACACGAGCTCAGAGAACATCTGGGCACATCTGTGTCCAACCTCACAGCCCCTGGGGACGTTCCCAGTGGGCTCAGCTTTCCCTGCTGCGACCCACCAGTCCAAACTGGAAATCTCATTTCTCTAGAAAAAGGGCAAGTCTGAAGTGAGACAGGATAGAAATGGCTGCTGAGAAGAGGCAAAATGAGAACACAAAACACATCATAGGGGAAATATTCATTGCTAAGCCAAACCCTGCCAGGACATCCAACACCCAGCTCGGATATGGATGAAGGCTCCAGAGTTCCTGGTGGTGCCAGAGCTGGGGCTACACCACTCATGCCAGATAAAGCAAATCTGGAGTAAAAAGAGGACTACAAACAATTTTCCCTGAGTCTCTGAGCACTCTGGCTTTGACAAAAAAAAAACCCCAGAGATGTTCAACAAGAACTGGAGCAGACATCAATTACCCTGGAAGTGTCCAAGGCCAGGTTGGACCTGGGACAGTTGAAGGGGTCCCTGCCCACGATTTTTAAGATGATTTTTTAAGGTTCCTTCCAACCCAAACCATGCTGGGATTTTATGATTCTATGATCAAATAGGCAAAGGATTGTGGGGCTGCAGGTTTGATGCTACAATGCTGATCATGAGAAAAGACAACCACAGGAAAACAAGTCCCCTCCACCACAAAAAAAGTTAAGAGACGCTTTGAGGTCAGAGAGATCAAAGACTCTGCACCAAAATGAGGAAACCAAAACTTTTTTGGGGTTTTTTTTTTTCTTTTTTTTAAGAAAAAGATAACATCATTCAGTGTATTTTTTCAAGCTTGCTGGACATCATACTGAAACACCGTAAAGCTGTCAGGGAAATTATATGCTTTTTTTTTTCTGTTGTCAACCAAAGCGTGCTTTTATGGAGTCAATTAGCCACAAATGATGAACACACGTCACTTGTCTGGGAATGAATTACAGTACAACCCAATAAACACAACTGGCTTTGCTCTCTGATCATTGCCCTGATGAGGAGGAGGCATCACACCTCCCTATCCAACCATAAAGGAAACTCCGTGTTGGTTTGGGTTTCATCCTGCAAATTCGTCTCCTTCAAGTGCTGCAGTGCTACAGTGTGGGGGGAAACGGGGTCATTGGTATTTCTGCTCTGACGTGCAAACCTGGACATGGGCTCAGGGTGTGAAATGCAATTGCATCGGGGAAAAGGGTTCGGATAAGCTGGGGTGGCACGGGGGCTTGGATGTACAACGGAGCTGCTGTCAGATTCCACGGAGAAGTGCAGCCAATGTTGTCTTTACACAGGGTTTTGTGTGCCCTCCACAGACCTTAGAGCCCTTTTTGAAGGTGGAGAGCCACAGTTTTATCAAGTTTTTAGGGTTTTTTTCTTTCGTTTGGTTGGTCGGCTGGGCAAGTTTCTTTTCCTCTTTTTTTTTTTTTTTTTAATTTTTAAACTTGAATAACAGATGGGTAAACTGAGGCACAGAAAGGTGGTGTGACTTGCCCACAGTTGTTGGTAGACCTCGAACCCCCCAGAATGAGAAGGAAGGGGCTGTTCCCAAAGTTCCCTCCACTTGTTCCCAGGGTGAGGAAACCCGCGGCTCCTCACGGGGCCGTCGCTCTCCGTGCCAATGCCTGTGCACGGTTCCTGCCAGCCCCTGGGAGTCCAGGGAAGCGAGGAGCCCAGCATGGAGAGGCAGGAGCCAGGATCAGGCACTACAGGATGCACTCGTGCCTCTCCGTGGCTTTCAGCGCCTCGTGCATGCTGGCGGCCGAGAGCCTCCTGTTGATGTTCCTGTACCTGCAGCGCAGCAGGTTCCAGAAGGTAGTCCTCAAATCCCTGTTGAAGAAGGCGTAGATGAGGGGATTGATGAGGGAATTGGTGTAGCCCAACCAGAGCAGAGTCCTCTCCAACCTCAAGGGCATGCAGCTGCAGCGGATGCCGCAGATGAACGGCCGCGCCGTGGACATGAGGAAGAAAGGCAGCCAGCAGAACGTGAAGGCCCCCACGATGATCCCGAGGGTCCTGGCCGCTTTCTGCTCCCTCTTGAAGATGGAAATGTTCTTGCGGTCTTGGCGGAGCAGCTTGGAGAGCGTGGCGCACTCCTCGGCGGCCTTGGTGCGCCGGGAGCTGTGGTGGGCGCGGCCGGAGGAGGCCTCCAGGCAGTAGACGCCCTCGTCCTCGTAGTGCTTGGGGAAGTTCATGAAGCGATGCTTCTCGGCGCTCACCTTGGCCGCCTTGTAGATGCGGCTGTACATCACCAGCATGACGGCCATGGGGATGTAGAAGGCCACGCCCGTGGAGTAGACGGTGTAGCCGAAATCCTGGCTGATGAGGCACACGCGCTGCACCGTCACGTTCTGGGCCCAGCCGAAGAGCGGAGGGAGGGTGATGGAGGCCGACAGGAGCCACACGATGAAAACCATCTTGGCCATCAGCTTGCCGTTCTGCCGCACGGGGTAGGTCAGCGGGCGCGTGATGCCCAGGTACCTGCGGGGGGGAGGAGTTGGCAGGGGTTAGGAATGGGTGCTCTTGGGTGCTGTTCACTCCTAATCAGCTGTGAGGGGATTTTGGACTAGAAATTAACTCACCAAGTCAAAATCTCCCCGAGCATGTGATCTCTTGACTAAACATCGCAATTTATTCCCCGCTTCCTTGCAGTCGCCCCGTGTGTGGAATCTCAGAATGGTTTGGGTTGGAAAGACCTCAAAGGTCATCCCATTCCAGCTCCCTGCCATGAGCAGGGACACCTTCCACTATCCCAGCTTGCTCCAAGCCCCAACCAGCCTGGCCTTGGACATTTCCAGGGATGGGGAGTCCATAACACCAGGTGTCAATGAAGTGCTGAGTGCAGTCTGAACTCTGCATGCTCTCCTGGGGAATGAAAATGCTTTAAAAAGCTTCGTTCTCAGGAATAAAAAATGCTTTAAGAGTTTCATTTTTCCACCAGGACTATTCTATATCGAGACTATCGAGACTATGGAGACTATCGAGACTATAGAGAATATAGAGAATATAGAGAATATAGAGAATCTCTTCCAGCCATGGCACATAACTCACTCCAGAGTGTCGCCCTTCCCAAGGACACACCCAGGAGTGGGGTGGGTGATGCTCACCCATGTGCCACAGGACTGATTCCAGAGGAAAGGAATAACTCCTAGCAGTGTTTAATGGGAGGTGGGAAGCACAACATCCTCTTATTTGTTGGTGAAGAAATACAACCTGCAGCTAAGATGGCCCTGGGAGACCAAGAAAAAAAATCTTGCCTTTGGGAAGGCTTAAAGATGTGTCTGGATGAGCCCTGCAGCAAAGCTGGAGAGTGGACAATGGTGTTTGGGGACAGTTTTTGAGCCCTTCACAACAGGAAAGCCATTGAGGGGCTGAAGAGTGTCCAGGGAAGGGAACAGAACTAGGGAAGGTTCTGGAGCAGCAGGAATGGCTGAGGGAGCTGGGAAAGGGGCTCAGCCTGGAGAAAAGGGGGATCAAGGGGGACCTTATGGCTCTGCACAACTCCCTGAAAGTTGCAGACCTCTGGAAACTCAGATAGGAATGACCCAAGCAGCTGGAGCCATCTGCTCACCTGTGATGGAGTGATGGAGTCCAGCTCTCCCTCAAGAGGAAAATGAGCTGAGTTTGGACTAAGAGATCCCAAAAACACCTGGTGACCCACAGATTCCCCAGTCCTGACCCTGGGGTTAGGAGTTACCTTGTTATTTTGTCTGAAAGGAGCTGGAGGCTGCACCCACCATCAGTTCCTCATTGTGCCACGGGGTGTAAACGTGAACCTTCCTGTCTTTTATTGGAGGGGTTTATGTGATAAAGAAATTGTATAAACTGTTGGTAAATTAGAATTGTAAAGCAATAAATCGTGGGTGGGGGGGAGTTGGCTGCTGTCAGCCAACATTCCCCCTGGAAAACATCTGCCTGCTACTCAGCTCCAATCAATCCTGCAAAAACCTCGAGCCACTCATATGGATTTCTGTTCTCTTACAGCCTCTTAGATTCCAGTCTCCTGCTGCCAGGAATTTTTAGGCAGGAACACATCACCTTTAATTGTTCTTGGATAAGCAGTGTCACTCCAGAGGGGCAGTGAGAACAGCAGCTCTATGAGTACTTTCTGCTGAAAGCTGAACAAAAAAAAAAAAAAAAGGAAAATATCTATGGAGAATTTTACCTCTGCTCTATCATTTTTTTTCTGACAGTCAGTCTTACTGTGTTAGGAGATTTTTCTCTTCCCTGATTATTTCGCTTTTCCAGATCGTCTCCCAAGATTAGAAAATGGAAATAAAATATGAAAAAAATTTAATTTCCCCTCCCCTCCTGACTGCTAAATCAATTGAGAGGCTGAAGTGTTTTCCCCTGCCTCCTAGATAAAATGGTTTTGAATTCATTCACCGAGTTATTCTTTCCTTGTTTTCCTCTGTATTCTTTTTTTGAGTTGGCCTTAGTCACAAGAACCAACCAAAACCATCTATGTTCAGAGAATTCCAGGATGGTTTGGGTTGGATGGAATCTTCAAGATCATCCGTTTCCAACCCCCTGCCGTGTGCAGGGACACCTTCCACTGTCCCAGGTGGCTCCAAGCCCCATCCAACCTGGACACTCGCAGGGACGGAGCACCCACAGCTTCTCTGGGCAACCCATTCCCTCCTGATAGCCTTTGGTGGGGCAGGCTGGGACAAAACCCTGCTCTGCTGTTGCAATTCCTAAATTAACACCCCAAAAATCACCCCTCTGTATCCGAGCCAAGAACTTTGCCAATAAATCCGTGCTGCGTTGTGTGCCCTCCTCTCTTACGCTATTACCGGGTTTCTCTGGAAGCTGATCCGCCCGGGATTTGCTGAAACCTCAAGGAATTTACACGAGGAAAACACTCGGTGACAAGGTTTAACAAGCAGGCAAAGCTGACACATTTCATCTGCGTGTACCTCGTGCAGCTGCTGGAGGAAATGGGGCCGTTTTGAGGTCTTTGTAATAATTTTGAAGTGAGTAGGAAAGCCTGGAAATAGGGCAGCGTTTACAGGAGGCGAGGTGGCACTGACAGGCGGTGCAATTCGAGTGCAATTCTCTCCCTTGGAATTTTTTTTTTTTGTTTTTTTTTGTGTGTGTGTGTGTGTGTTGTGCTGCTAATCAAGTTTAGAGGTAATCAGGTAAGAAAAGGCAATTCCCAGGATTTACAGGAACTTGGTGTAGATTTGCAGGGACTGATGGTGCAGCCACTCATCTCGGGTGCAATAAATTCCTGCCACATCCCTGATCCTGCAGATCCTGCAGCCCCTTGGCTGTGGGCTGGGAGATCTGCCCCAGGGAGATTTGCAGCAGCAAACCCCATGGATGAGCCAATTCAGAGCATTTATTCTACATTCAATGGGAATCATGGAATGGGTTGGGTTGGGTTGGGTTGGGTTGGGAGGGATTTAAATCCCATCCAATTCCACCCCCAGGGCAGGGACACCTTCCACTATCCCAGGTTTCTCCAAGCCCTGTCCAACCTGGCCTTGGACACTTCCAGGGATCCAGGGGCAGCCACAGCTTCTCTGGGCACCCTGTGCCAGGGCCTGCCCACCCTCACATGGAACAATTCCTTCCCAATATCCCATCCATCCCTGCTCTTGTCCTGTCTTTACATTTCCTGATGAAAAGTCCCTCTCTGGCTTCCCTGTAGGCCCCCTTCAATTGTTGGATAATTATGCCAGGGATTAAATAATAAAAACAACCCAGACCTCTCTGAGGTGCCCCTTTCTCCATCCTACAGCTGGTGTACTGGGAAAAGGTGAATCCACACTAACACAGGAGGACAAATGAGCCCAGAATTAGGGTTTCCTTGACCCCACAATTTTACCACAATTCCATCTGCAGCCAAAATAAGCTCCTTCCTTGATTTCCAAGCTGATGCTATTCCTGCCTCATTGTGCTGAAGGAGAGGAGGAAACAAAAGGCAGCTGGAGACTGGAGACTTAGGACACCTGTCCTAAGTCAGAGCTATGGAGCATCCCAGGGATCCATCCCAGACACAGAGCAGGGAGCTACCCAGCCTGGGAAAGATTTGGATGAAAGATATGGGAAAGGCAATCCAGCAAAATGCTGTGCAGTTTTCATCCCACTGACTTTTGGGAGGCATCCTTTTACTGAGGGTGACCCCAATTTGGAGCATGTAATCTGATTTTGGGTGGAAAATACTTGCCAGGGAAAGGGGAGAGCCCCAGCAGAGCTGCCTGGGAAATGGATGGAGAGTTTTTTTCTCCATCAGGAGTGCCAGAAGTGATGTGTGGGCTTTGGGGAGCTCCTTTTGTCAGTTCCTTGGCATTTTTATGGAGAGTTTCATCAAAGCTGAGCAGCCAAAAGCGGGGATATTTTTTTTTTGGTTTGTTTTTGGTTTGTGACATTAAAAAATCTGCAACATTGGCAGGCTTTTACATAAGGAAAATATAAGAGGAAGATGGATGTTTCCAGCATTTTTCTTTTCTGATTTCAAAGGAAATCAATCAAATCTCGCTTCAGACAAGATTAGTTCTACCAGCTTCAATCGAGAGGCTTTTAGGAAGCGCTCGGCATTAATAATCAATAACAGCAGCCTACATTTTAATAGTCCTCATCATCCTGGGCAAACCAAGTAGCTTTTCCATCTAAGCTGAGCAAAATATCGAGGGCACTTCAGTCATCAATAAAAACAGGGCCTCCACCTTGGCAGGAACAGACCTGACAGTGCTGACCAAGTTGGATTCAGGACAGAACCAAAGGAAATATTTCTATTTCCCAGAAGAACCAGGGCTTTTCCTCTTCTTCCTCGCAGGGTGGGAGGAAGAGCTGGTCCCCATCACTGGGGGAGGTTTGGGTTCATGCCTTGCTGAGGTAACAATTTCATCTCTTTTGGAGCAGGATTTTCAGGGACTCTGCAAGCTCAGCTCTTCTGGTGCTTGGTTTTTAGTTGTATCAGCACAGAAATTGAGAGTTGTGCTTTTGGAGATGTTTCCATCAAGAGTCAAACTAAAAATCCTGCCCATCCCAGGCTCAGGGGGGGAAGTGGAGATCCAGGCATGATCCTGGATCCTCAATCCAGCTCCACTCACTGCCTGAGGATGCTGGGTGGATGTGGAGCAGTCATGCTTGAGATGCTGCCCTGGGATGATTCACACAACTCCCAGCCCATTCCTGGGGATCCTTGAGGGGAAAAGCAGCAGGACAGCACCTCAGTCACCTCCTTCTCTAATGGGCACCAGAGGACATCCCAATAATTCCCATTCCTCCTAAACTCCAGCACAGATTGACCCCACAAGCCCCCTGCACTTGCAGGTTGTCCTTCCTCCCACCCAGAGCCAGGTGGGCACCACTGGAGGGACTGTCCAGTCCCTTCCCTTTGCTCAGTCCTTGCTGGTTTTTCTCCTTTCCCAGCTGGAAATACATTCCAGGCAACTTCCCTGCAACCACTTCACTTCCCTATCATGCCTGCAGCGAGGGGAGGACAAAGCTCTGGGCGCAAACTGATGATGGTGCAGCTCCTGTGCCAACACGTGAGGGACAAGCCCGTGCCAGAAAATTCAGGCTCTTTGACAACCTCTTGGGACACAGCTTTTCCCTCTCTGCTTCCCAGGAAAGACAAAGTGACATCAAACTCGGGATCTGCCTGCACGGTGTCCTTGGGTGTGGATCTGCTCCCCAGAGCAGATGGGAGGGACACGATGGAGGGGTGGAACCCATGGCAGGGATTTTTGGGGAAAGATTTCTCCTGTTTGTGTGTGTTTGGAAAAGTCTCGCTCCAAGGGATGGGGTGGGATTGGTTGGTTGGGAAAGGAGGAGAAGGAAATGGGAAGAGAAGGGGAAGAAAGAAGGAAAGGGAAGGGAAGAAGGAGGAAAGGAAAAGGAAATAAAAACAAAGAGAAAGAAAAAAGGGTTGCTCGTATTGGGTTTTTGGGGATTTGGGATGGGGTGGGGAGAGTTGTTGACATGCTTGGCCGAGGAAGAATGAAAAGGGAAAGGGAAAAAGAGAAAACAGAAAGAGGGGAAAGGGGAAAAGGGAAAGGGAAAGGGAAAGGGAAAGGGAAAGGGAAAGGGAAAGGGAAAGAAAGGAGAAAAGAAAGGAAAGGAAAAGGAGAAAAAGGAGAAGGAGAAGGAAAAGGAAAAAGAAAAGGAAAAGGAAAAGGAAAAGGAAAAGGAAAAGGAAATGGAAAAGGAAAAGGAAAAGGAAAAGGAAAAGGAAAAGGAAAAGGAAAAGGACAAGGAAAAGGAAATGGAAAAGGAAATGGAAAAGGAAATTTTCAAGCAAAGCCAGTCTGGTTAGTGTGTAGCCACTTCCTGCTCCTCACCCACCAGGAGGAAGCACTGACACTTTTCATTCCTGCATTTCATCCCTTCCCTTTCACAGAGTCAGGCTCCTGCCAGCTCTGAGCACACCTGCTTTTTTTTTTTTTTTTTTTTTTTTTTTTTTTTTTTTTTTTTTTTTTTTTTTTTCCCAACAGGAAAATTATTAAAATAAAGCAAGTTCAGCAGAAGAGCTGAACCTTGCCTGTGGCCTGGCAGGAGTTTTTCTCTCTGCCAGCAGCTCTGAGCTGCTCAGGGCTGTGGATCTGCAGCTCCCAGGGGAGCAGTGGCTGGTGGGGGTGAAGGCTTCGGAGCAGGACTCGCTGCTGGCGTGCCCCGGGGAGGAGGATGTCAAGCAGCAGCAGGATTTTCTCGGTCCTTTCTGCTTTGTCACCTGCTGCCACACCTGCAGAGGTGACCGTGGCACAGCTGAAAGGGCACATCTCGGATGTGTGATGTGTCCCTTCCCTGAGCTGCTGCTCCCGAAGCAGCCCAGCCCAGCAGTGCTGGCTCAGCCCAAAGCGACCCCCCGAGATGCCAGCACACGTCAGCCCTGGCCACCAGCTCGTCAGCGCCATGGCCCCGATGACGCAGCTGCTAAAATTAGAGCCACCAAGGTGCTGACTTGTCCAAGCCTGGCCACTTTGCCAGGCAGGCTTAGCCTTTCCCTGCCAGCCCCAGGTGTGGAAGGTGAAGCCAGAAAATCCTCCCAAATGCACTCACTGAGTTAACCGGGGGGGTTGGGACCTTGGGATGGGGTGTGGGGAGCGCTGTGACATCCTTAGCCAAGGCACGAGTCCAGCAGCAGCAGAGAGTCCCACACGATAGGCTCCAGAAGCCCTGGGGTTTTTCAAAGTGCATCTGGGGGGTTTTTTCTGCTTTCTTGAATAGTTTCATGGCTCAGGCACCTTCCGTGGAGAAGGTCAGGTGCTGGAACAAGGTGAAGCAGCTGCCAAAAGGGGGAAGGCTAAGGAAGTAACTTAGGGGAAGTTACTTGAGAAAACGCCCTAAGGGAATGAGGCACCGAATTCCCACAGAAAACCTTCATCACCTGGAAAAAAAACCACCACCAGGAGCACTGATCCAGCCACGAACACTGTTCTAACTGCCCAAAACACCCCGAATATCAGAGCCCACCTGAGCGCAGGGCAGCAGCCCAGCCCTGCCTTACCTGTCCACGCTGATGATGCACAAGGTCATGATGGAGGCAGTGCAGCACATCACATCCATGGCGATGAACACGTTGCAAAACACCTTCCCAAAGAGCCACTCGCCCCCCACCAGGTCCGTGATGGTGACAAAGGGCATGACAGCAAAGGCCACCGACAGGTCAGCGGCGGCCAGGGACACCACCAGGTAGTTGGAGGGCTGCCGGAGCTTCTTGACGATGCACACGGAGATGATGACCAGCCCGTTGCCGGCGATGGTGGTGAGGATGATGATGGAGAGCACGGCCCCGATGACGACCTTCTCGGTGTCCCCATAGAGCAGGATCTCCTCGCCGCAGTCCGTGGCGTTGGTGAGGTTGGAGGGCGGCAGCTCGGGCTCGGCTGGGGCGGGAGGTTCCTCAGTCATGAATGGATTCGGGAGCGGTTCCCGAGCCGGCTGCTGCTGCTGCTCCGTGCTCTCCACCAAGAGAAGGTGCTGCTCCAGAAACCTCCTGGGGCTGGTTCTCAGCAGCATGCTCCGAGCTCGGCACCGGCGCTCCCCCAGCAGTGACACCTCCAGTGACAAACCAGAGCATCTTGTCACAAACAGGGAGAAGAAAACCGAATATCCTCTCATCCTCTCCCCCACCGTCACCACCCCCCTCCACCCCTCTTGCCACCCCAAAGCTGCGGCTGCATCTCACGTGCTCGGCAGGAAGGCGCTTCCCAAATCTCCTTAAGGACACGCGTTTTACCGGGGGATGCTTGGAGGAAGCCGCTCTGCACTTGGGAAGGAGCACGGGCTGCCCGCAGCACCTCCCTGACCACCCATGTGCTTTTCCAGGAGACAGAGCGGATTGTGGATGGTGTTTCCCTGCCGAGCTGTGCCTGCTGCTGCTGTTGCACTTCTCCTCTGCATCCATACATTTAATCCCTTGCAGAGCCTCCTCTGTGGATGTGGGAGAGGATGCGACAACACGAGCCACAGCACCAGTGCGGGCACAGCCCCCGCCGGCTGCATCCCCTGCCCGTGGCGCACGAAAACTTCAAAGCCGGGACCGCAAATCCCCGCTCCTGGCACGCAGTGGCCACACACGGGCTGTTAGTAGCCACGGGGAGCGGATCCATGGCATGTAGCACCCCAGGGTAGCACGCACAGCCCAGGCATCCCAGCTCGTTCCCGAGCCTGAGCATCCCCAGCATCCCCAGCAGAGCCGCGGCCGCGCTCCCGCCCGCGGGATTCCACCCCTGCAAGTATTCCCGGCCATCCACAAGGAAACTTCAGGGCAGGGCTCACCCCTGGATGCTCCGAGCATCCTGCACAAACCTGCACCCTCTATTTTTTGTTGTTGTTTTGTTTCGTTTCAAACCCCATTTTCCCCTTGAAGTTTTGTTTCAATCCAAGCCGGATTGCTGCCCCTTCCTCCCCTTTGCAGCATCCCCCTCCTGCGGCCGTGGGGGTCCCGGAGTTACCTGTGCCGAGGGGGTGAGACATCCTCCAGGCGAGCCCCTGCGAGCTCCGGGCAGGCGAGGAAGCAAAGAGCCACCCCCGGAGCATCCTTCTCCCCTCCCCGCCTCGCCGGTCCCTCCTACCGCCCTCCCCTCGCCTCTGCCGGGCACGGACCCAGATGGTCCCCGGCTGCCTCGGAGCCCCAGGGAGGAGCAAAGAGCGGGGCGGGGGGGTCCAGGCTGGATCCTGCGGCCATGGGAGGGAGCGGGGAGCGTGTGAGGATCTGGAGGGAAAGGCTGGAAGTTGAGGAGATGCCTTGGAGCACTGAGAGGCAGGAGAAGCAGCCTGGAAGCCAGCAAGTAGGGCAGGCACAGGGAAAGGCGCCCTTCCCCATGATTTTTTAGGGAGAGGGTTTCTTTTCTCGTTCCATGCTTTTTTTTTGTTTTTGTTTTTGTTTTTTTTCCAGCCCTCCTGGCTCGTAGCGGGTCCCGTGTTCCTTCAGCTCCGCGCTGAGGAGCAGCGAACAGCCAGGGAGAGGCAGATCCCTAAAGATGAGCCTTTCCTAATCCTGGGAAAAATGAAACAGAGACTATTAAAAAAAAAAAAACAAAAACAGGAAAGATCATGGAGAGATCCACATCCACTTCCCTCCCCACCAAATGTTCCACGGGGACTTTGGAGCTGGGATCACTCTGATATCTCAACCCGGGGCATCAGTCAGTCCCAGTTTGCTCCTCCTGGGGTGGAAGATGCGGAGCAGAGGCATATCCAACATTTGTTATTCCCAAGGTCATTCCCTCGGGAATTCAGCTCCTCTGCTGCCTTCCCGGGGGGATGGACAGCGCCCTGCATCCCTCGGGATGGGGGAGCTCGGAGGGGAGAGGTGCGGGGATGTGACCGTGGAGCTGCTCGCAGGCTCGGGAAGCGATTCCCGACACTCAGAGCTCCGGGAGCGAGGTGGGAATCTCATCCCAGGACACCCAGGGGACAGAGTCTGGGAAAAACACTTTGCAATCTCAGTGATGCCAAGCGCTGCATTACCTATCCCCAGGGATTTTTGGGGCAGATGTTCCCGGGAAAAAAAAAAAAAAAAAAAAAAAAAAAAAAAAAAAAAAAAAAAAAAAAAAAAAAGGTGCATCTGCAAGGAAATCGCCGGTGAGCTAAACCAGGGCTGTTAAAGCTGTACTTAACGCTGGGGTTCCTCCTCTGCTGCTCGAGCATCGCAGCGTGTGTGGGAGGCTGGTGAAAATAGCTTCCTCGCCAGGCCAGGACGTGCTGGAGGAGCTCTCCGGATTTTTTATTTTTTTTTTTCTTTCCTTTTTTCCGTGACAGGTGGAGATTTTTTTTCCCAGCCCCTCCAGAGCGGTGACGAGCCAGGGTGGGACGGGGCTGATGCACAAACCCTGGGGAGTGGGAGCTCACTGGGATTTGCCAAACACACCCGGAATTTCCGAGGGAGGAAAAGGGGATCTGCAGAACTCCCGGATTCTGCAGTTCTCCAAACCCAGACAAATTCAGCCAAGGATGAAAACACCCCCTAAGGACCGGCTCAGGCACTCTCATGCCTGGAGAATTTCAGGGAAACAATCAATGCCCGAGGCACAGATCTGCTCCCACCCTTGGGAGAGGGGTGAGAGGAAGGGAAATGGGGTGGGGGACAGCCTGGAGGGGTTTTTCCTGCCTGGAGAGGTTTTCCCAGCTTCCCTGGAGGGAGTTTTTCCATCCTGGAGGGAGTTTTTCCAGCCTGGAGAGGTTTTCCCAGCTTCCCTGGAGGGGGTTTGTCCAGCCTGGAGGGGTTTTTCCAGCTTCCTTGGAGATTTTTTTTCCAGCTTCCCTGGAGGCTGCCTTTGGGAGAACACCACAGCAAGGAGCTCCTGTGCACTAAGGAGAGGCAGGGAAGGATTTTTTTCCTCTTGCTGGTTCAGGCACAGAGGTCGAGTTCATGTCCTGGCAGAGAGGAAGGAAGGAAAAAAAGGCGATTTTAGAGGTGAGGAGCTTCCTGGACTCTTTGCTTTGCCCTTCCAGGACTTTTAGCAGAGCCTCAAAATCCTGCAAGGTCTCCAGGGAGCAGAATTTACCCCGCTCTGTCTCATCCCAGCCCCATTTCTGTAGGACACAACCTACGGCTTTTCCCTTTCAGAACTCCTGCAGGTCTGGGAGCTCCACAGGGGAGTTTCATCCCATTTATTTTTCAGGGAAATGAGCTGCTCTCATAACTTGGGGAGCAACGAAATTCCTGCAAAAAACAGGTCCAGAAAGTCACTGCCAGCTCATGTGACACTCACCAAGCAGCCAGAGGGGACATCCTTTGCTCGGGTTGATTTTGGGGAGGACAGAAGGGAAAACGCCAATTTTCATGTGAAGAAATAATTAAAATAATTATTCTTCTCCTGGCTAAAACTCTTGGTGCAGCATTTCTGCAGCCCCAGGCCACGGTGACCTTGCTGAGACACTGCTCCTGGGGCGAGCTGGGAAGCATTAATTGCATTTAATGGCAATTAGGGGAGGAAATGGCCAGCGTGCCTTAGTTCAGCACTCACTGGAGCTTTCTGCCTTCTGCTGAGGACAGCACAGGTTTGGAGGAGCAGGGATGGGGCTGGAGCGACGTGGGATGAACCCCCGGGATGATTATCCATCGGCCAAACAAAGCCGAGAAGCAGAAAACACAAAATAATAAAAAAAATAAAGTTTCCCACTGCACCTGCAGCAGGGGAGGGGTGACCAAAATCCTCCCAGAAATTCAGCCAGGCACTGCCCAGATCTATTATTCCATTCTCATGTACAAATGGCCACGAAGGGGCTATTTTATTAACAATTAATTGTGAATATTACACCCTATTAAGTCTAATGGCGAGGTAACAGGCGCAGTTATTAATATGTAAATTTGGAGAAATCTCATTAACTCCAAGGTCCTCAACTTCCCGGTGTTTCCAGGACCAGCATCCCGAGGAAATCTTCCCTGCAGCACAGATGTTGACATTTCTCCCTCCCAGCAGCCCAGATGGATAAAATTTATCCCTTGGGACTCTCAGCTTTTAAGGAACATCTCTGAGGGTGGATTTTACCTCCAGGGAAATTCGGGATGAGCCGGTCTGGAGTATCCAAACTTTCTCTGTAGGTGTCACGGTGCCTCTCCCCTGAAAAAACAAAAACCGAGGAGTTTTAGTGACCCAGATCCCTTCCCCTTCTGTCCATGGGCATCTCCTGCTTTCCCCCCGAGGCTCTCCCACTTCCAAAAAAACAGCCCCTGATGAGCAATGAGGAACATCTCCCTGGAATCACCCAGCAAACAAAAAAACCAAAAACCAAAAAACCCCAAAAACAAAAGCAAAAAAACAAAGCAAAAAAACAAAACCAAAAAAACAAAACCAAAAAAAACCCCAAAAAAACCCACAAAAAAACCAAAAAAACCAAAAAAAACCAAACAAAACAAAACAAAAAAAAAAAGTGGGAATGTGGTACCCAAGAGAGGGTTGGATCTCCCAGAAATTAATCCCTTGCCTTGGGGTCCAATCCCATCCCCTTGGGATGTCATTTAAAGATTTACCTGCGATTTAAAACTCCGAGATAGGATTTTGGGGTGGTTTTTTTCTTATCGGTCTTGCCTAAAATAGAAAAAAAAAACCACAACAAAATGAAACTTTTCAGCTTATTTTTAAAGGCTCCAAATGCATTTTGCTGTTTGAGCAGGTGGGGAACAATTGGAAATGTCACGGGAAAACTCCATCCAAAGGAGACATCCCAATAATTCATCTCCAAAAGGTGGAATTGCTGAAGAGAGGAGCGTTTTAATTCAGTTCGTGCAGCCACACTCCCTCTGCTGGAGCCTGCCCAGACAACAGGCAGCTTTTAGTCACCAAATTTACAAATTTTGGTTACCCGGGAGGGCTCTCAGGAGTTGTCCCTGTTGGATTTTAGAAACTTGGGGGTTTTTGAGTTTTGGCACTGACTCCCTGGAGAACACTGCTTTTGATTTGAAGCCTTGGAGAAGGCTTTTAGATTTGAGTGATGAAGTTAAAATTAGGAGTGTGTAGTTAAATAGAAGTGTGTGCTTTTACATGGTAAAGGGCTTTAAATTTGAGGTTT